TTTTTTTCTAAAAGTGTGCATCATCTTTTGAGTCAAATTCTTACATTTAATCAGTCAATTAGAATAAAAGACATTTGGGCTGTTATCAAACAAATGATATCAGTATCAAAATTAATCTTTCTCACTGTTAAGAAGCGAGTCATTGCGATTGAACCGAATCATTTAAATGGTTGATTCAATCAGGAATGAAACGCCGGCATGTTGCACAGAGACGCAAAACAGCGCTGTGGCTGTGTTTGAACTTTTTTTGTTGGCAAAATAAAGCAAAAACAGGCAATATAGTGTCTAAAACGTAAGTCTCATAATATTACCTTCTTGTTTATTGAACTGTTGAACAATCACATTTGTAATCATGCTGATTTTAGAGGTGAAAACTGGCACTCTTCGTGTGATATTGACTAACTTTCTTTCTGTGGTATTTTTATGCACAATGGCGTTTAGTCTTTCACAAAACAGCTAACGTAGGGACATTATAACTAGCCACCATATTGATTTACGGTCTTAAATATGTCCATCGTTTGTTTTTATACAGTCTATGGTCTGGTTCAGCGTCTATCGGGTTGTGCGTCAGTAATAATGGTACGTGGGGAAACACAGTGTTCCGTGTGTAATTACAGTAAATGGCCTAAACCAGTGGTTCCCCAACCCTGGTCCTGGAGGCACCGGTTCACTGCACATTTTGCATGTCTCCTTTCTCTGACACACCAATTTCAGGTCTTGGAGTCTCTACTAATGAGCTGATGATCTGAATCAGGTGTTTTTGATTAAGGAGACATGCAAAACGTGCAGTGTTGGGGTGCCTCCAGGTCCAGGGTTGGGAACCACTGGACTAAACGACGCCTCGATTTTGGATTTTTTTGGATTCAAATTACTCGAGGTAGTCAAGGAATCGTTTCAGCCCTAGTCATGACGATGAAACTCTATCCAAGAGCGCACAATAACTGAGATTTAAAACTGTTCGATTAAGGAGACATGCAAAACGTGCAGTGTTGGGGTGCCTCCAGGTCCAGGGTTGGGAACCACTGGACTAAACGACGCCTCGATTTTGGATTTTTTTGGATTCAAATTACTCGAGGTAGTCAAGGAATCGTTTCAGCCCTAGTCATGACGATGAAACTCTATCCAAGAGCGCACAATAACTGAGATTTAAAACTGTTCAAAGAAAAGGCTCAATATACTATCGCACAGATTTAATAAACTACGCATCAATATCTCTTTCCTTTGTGCTTTGAACCTCTCTTTGCGGAGCTGTGCGCTGTGACTCCGTGTTGCTTCAAGCGCATCATTCTGCGCACGGGATGCGCATAAGCACTTTGTGCCGCTCTGTATTGGAGCTTTTCTTATTATATAATACTTTTGCGCAATGAACGTTTATTTATAGCGTTTCTTGTTCTGTCCTATAAGGCTATTAATAATCTAATGTATAGCACAGTAATGGAGGCAGCAACATATGATAGGACTCCTCTATCGATCATATGTTGCTACCTTCATTACTGTGCTATACAATTAAAAGAAATGTCTTTTAATTTTATAGTTTATATTTATATATAAATACATTTACTTGTTTTCATGAATGTATTTTACAATACAGAGAGCAATGCGTAACATTTTACCAGATTTAGTCCTACATTTATTCACTTATTTTTTTCCCCACTAAATAAATGTTATTTCACTAAATGTTTAGATTTTATGCACTCATGATTTTTCTAGAATAAATTTGCTTCTAAATTATCCACTAACCTAGTTTATAATAGTATTTTTGTCATAGGTTATTATATATTTTTTTCATTTGTTATTTTTCATTAAAATGAAGTGGTCTATATTTAGTAGATTGTGTTTAACACACAAAAGAGTGACGATCAGGTCAACACAGAAGTATAGAAATTCTACACTAATAATAATAATAATAATAAAAAATAAAAAATAAACTGTGCTGGTATCGGATCGGAATTGGCTGATACTCAGAATTTTCTGGATCAGATCGGATCTGAAAAAATGGTATCGTTGCATCCCTAGTAAAAGTGAATGTAGATGCTGAGATGAAACGGAGGCTGGACGCCAAGTACAAAACAGGGTCATGTCAGGTAAACTTCGATAACAAACACACATACCTCCACATTTAAAGCCAGGAAGCTCTTCTGCAACTCATGGGCAAAGTCCAAGTTGTGAGCCACCTCCGGAGCTTTAGATAAAGCCTCCTACATATATGAAACAAGAAAGCATATGTATTTATTACAAAAAGGAACAGCTGCTGATATGCGTGCACACAGAGGGCTAGAATTGAACAGAATATAGTGCACATACCAGCTGATCCTGGTTGAGACATTCTCCTTTGTTCTTCCTTGTCTGGTAATCATCCAGCTTGCTCTTAACAGAGAGTTTGCTCATATTAATGGTGATGTGTGGAATGCAGATTAAAATGTAAATTCCACATAACTGATCAGATACAAGTATCTATATCAAGCTGACACAATTTATGCCATTTATACTACTGAGCAGTCCGTTTTCACTGTATTACAGGTTGAGGCTCATAGTAAACTAATAAACACCAGTCATGTACTATTTTTTATAAGCATTCATTAAACTTTACTAGACTAAAATTACAGAAACCCAATGCTTTAATAATACAGTCTTAAAGTACAAAGCAAAAAAAATTAAATTCACGTTCTAATTTTAAAAGCATTATTGACATGTACCATATGACGCTATAACATCAGCTAAAAAGTATTAAGAAAAACCATTGATGATGGTAGATTTCCAAGTGAAATAGGATAAAGTCCATTGAGAAAAAATGGATGAGATGGGAATTAAATTCTTATCTATCTTATCTTATTGCAGTTGATTGTGGTGATCAACTGACCTAGAGTAAACACTTTTATAAAGGAATCTCAATAGACACAATGGATGCTCAATGTCCATTAAATCAATCATTATTTGCTGTTATTGCCAAAATATTTTATGATAATCTGTATTATATTACTTGATCAAGTACTGGATCAAGATTTTTAGTTTAGCTTTTGATGAGATATATATATATATATATATATATATATATCTCTTTTCTTTAGAATTACATGCACTGATAAACTGTGCACAATAATCCCAGGACTGGTGTATTACCTAAGTAAATAGGGTCAAGCCTGATTAACAATGAGTTACCTTTTTCTTTTCCATGTTGCGAACCTTCTTGTCAACTACACCAAGTACTTGAAATAAACTATAAGTTAACTGGCTTAATAAAATAAGCCAGTTACTTTTATGTATTTGGTCCATCAATAAAAACATTTCCAACATCCAAAGTCAAAGCATGATCAGCCGTTTCCAAGCATTGTTTCTGAAGGATCAGTGTTGAATTGGTTGAATTCAAATTGGTTGAGTAAATGATTCAACGACTCACTCATTAAAAATCAGTACTGTGAATGAAATGACACTTTATAACCCACTCAAAAAGACGTCCGGTTGTCGCTTCCTTGTGGTGTAACAATGTAACATGCAAAAAAATCCCCGCTACAATATATTCTATGCACATAACTGCCTACGCATTTAAGCTAAAATCTCGTATAAAAGTTTTATACGAGCTTCCAGTATGGTATTCTCCCATAGTAAACTGTGGTATAGCAATCCCTTTCTGTCATATACTATAATATTGTATATTCTATATATTTTAACGATAGTGAATATAAAATGTTGTATATTGTATTAAAACATAACTTCTTAGTGATGAGTTCCAGAAGCTTTAAATACCTTTATCGTGAAGTTGGATATTACTGGCTGCTCTGCACAGTTGATGAGCCCAGAAAAAAAGTACAGTGAAAGCTGGGTTGAGTCGTTGAGGCCACTCCTAGCAAGCGTCTTGCAAGGCTTGATGATGGCCCACAAATCTCCAGGCAGCATAGTGATATATGGAGCTACAAACAGGCTGAATCTGAACCTGAACCAGGAGAGAGTTATGATGGCAATCAGCACTGTGTCCAAAAATGTTTGCTTCATGCTTCACATGGGAGACGAGAGAAAAATGACAGAGACATCGTAGCAAGTTCGAAAATTCGAGTTTGAGTTTATTCATAAAGTCATAAACCTGTTTTCTGTTTTGATTGCACTAAAGATCGTTGGTGTTGCCAACAGGCCTATAATTGTGTCCACCTGTGATGATACTGTATTTCAGCGTATCCTTGAAAACACTGGCCTCACATCTGATCACAAAACAAATGCACAAGCCACGAGCCAAACACGGATTTGCATGAATACAATAATCACTGGAGTTCATCAAACTAATATGCAGCCATGTGAGAGCTGTTTTCATCTTAGCAACCTGAATGTAAACAGAGAAGAAACCTCTAATAAACTGCATGAGAATGTCTGGTTTCAATGCCTGTTCCATTCACCCGGTATACTCTTAATCATATCAAAGACAGACTTCTTGTAGTACCGGTCCCATTACAGCATCCATTCATCAGTGAGCAGTTGTTTACTGCATGTACTGTACATACTCAGACCTAGAGTTGCACACCTAGATGGCAGAGAGAATGGTAATATAAGTTTAAACAGAAGATGACGCTAATCTGTCAAAAGACACCTTTACTTTAGGAGAATGTAAACATGAACAGCAGGGTAAAAATTACTATCATCATGGAAAGAAAATAAATGTAAAAACATACATATTGTATCATGACTTGAACTGTCACTGGTGTTTACAAGATACTGTACATCCATCAGTGGTTCTTAACTGGCGCCGTCAGCAAACTTTCAAGGGGACCTACAAGCTTTGAAAAGCTTTAAATTAATTCACCCCTAAACTTATGGAACTCTACAATTTAATTATTTTGAATTACCAGTTGAATTATAATTAGTTTTGCAATTCATTTGCTGTAAATTAAAACTTTATTTTAATATAGTTGTGGACAGTGGGGGTCTTGGACTCAAAAAGGTTGAGCATTATATTTATGCATTTAGTAAACATTTTTATCCCAAATAAATTATTTTGCATTCAAGGTATAGGCCTACATTATATCAGTGTGTTCCATGAAAATTAAACCTGCAACCTATGTGTTACTAGCACTAGCTGAGGTACCAGCAGAGATGAGAGGAAAAAATAAACTGGTCAAGGGAAGGTGATTTTGCTTAACAGTGACTAACAGAAATGTTGGAATGATGAGAAGCAGATAACAGAACACGACCTGTCGGTCATGAACTGGAAAACAGTAGTAACTTCCTGCTTATTTGTCAATTACATTGACATCAGCATGGCTGTGATTTGGCTTCAGGTAAAGACAGCCGTGTTGATATTTCAGACCAAAAGCACATTATGAGAGTGGTAGTGCTTTAATAGTATAGTAAAATAAACTATAAGTTAACTGGCTTAATAAAATAAGCCAGTTACTTTTATGTATTTGGTCCACCAATAAAAACATTTCCAACATCCAAAGTCAAAGCATGATCAGCCGTTTCCAAGCATTGTTTCTGAAGGATCAGTGTCGAATTGGTTGAATTCAAATTGGTTGAGTAAATGATTCAACGACTCACTCATTAAAAATCAGTACTGTGAATGAAATGACACTTTATAATCCACTCAAAAAGACGTCCGGTTGTCGCTTCCTTGTGGTGTAACAATGTAACATGCAAAAAAATCCCCGCTACAATATATTCTATGCACATAACTGCCTACGCATTTAAGCTAAAATCTCATATAAAAGTTTTATACGAGCTTCCAGTATGGTATTCTCCCATAGTAAACTGTGGTATAGCAATTCCTTTCTGTCATATACTATAATATTGTATATTCTATATATTTTAACGATAGTGAATATAAAATGTTGTATATTGTATTAAAACATAACTTCTTAGTGATGAGTTCCAGAAGCTTTAAATACCTTTATCGTGAAGTTGGATTTTATTAATATTTCTGTGTTTTGCTGTTTGATGCTTCCTTTAGATATAATTTTGTGCTTAATTTTCTCACAATTTCCATACACCGCACTCCACCCGAAACTGCAGTGGCTACTGAGGTTGAATGTGGAAGCAAGCATGTATAGTCCATACACAGACTGACAACCTGTCAATTCAAGGATTGAAACTAACTGTTATAACATGCTATAGATAAACCCAACAAATTCTTAACCAATAACCTGAAATCTGAATACAAAAATTAAAGAGATTCAGCTACTAATATTATTATAATGATATGATCACTCTCTCGTTTTTTGCCCCACTCAAACAACACTCTGTGAACACTGGCTGTCATTTAGGCAAAAGTTCAGTGGCCTGAGCTTCAGGAGATCCATTCCTTTTCACACCTCCACAGAGCTGTGACTGTCTGAGGAAAAGGAGGGAGTTGACTGCGACGTCCTGGGCCAAGCTCTTCTCTTCAGATGTGGGCTGCTGAGTAATGGCCATACATCCTTCAGCACTCTTCTGCCTGCACATTCTGCCTGTATTAAAGACATGCAGTAGATTTATTGGTTGAAAAACCATAGGGGCCCCACAAACACTTCAGCTGAAGCCTTGCTCCCGCTGCACTGCAGACCAGCACAGGAATTCACCAGATGCCCCTCTGATTCTGCTCTCTCTTCTTCATCCGTTCTCTCTCAGTGTCCAGCCATGTTTCACTCTCCTTTTCCATCTTCCCTCTTAGTCTGTCCACTTCACCCCCATTGACCTGCCATCCATCTGGGCCTGTCTCCATATCTGTGTGCATCACTGGCAGCATAGCTCGACTGGTTTTGACTACACATCTATATGTTCTGTTACCTCTAGAAGACCTCAAGAAATGCTGGTGACACACTGTTCTTTGAAACATAAAAACATCCAGTAGTCTTTAGTTGTATCACAGTCAAGGACTACAATATCATACTCATACTACAATATCAGAATTTGAACCCAAAACTAACTAACATTTTTCTTTTTGAATCAAATCAGCATATTAGAATGATTTGTGAAGGATCATGTGACACTGAAAATTGAAGTAATGGTTGCTGAAAATTCAGCTTTGCATCACAGGAATAAATTCCAATTCAAAATATATCAAAACAGAAATCAGCTCTTTTAAATTATTACAATATTTCACAACATTACTGTTTTTACAGTAATAGATGCACTCTTGGTGAACATAAGAGACATTGTACTGCTTCCAAACTTTTAAAAGTAGCGTATGAGTTTTTAATACCTTTTACAAATCAGTGTCATAACAATAGCCAATCCAAACTCTTCAGAGTTTTACAGAAGTCTATGAGTCTGTGTGTGAATGTCTGTGTGTGTCCAGATGTCACTGCATCCAGCTGTGGGGGTCATGACCACTCATAATTACCATGAACATTCATCAGGATGCATATTCATCCATGCACAGGTGGAAACAAGCTCATGGTCAGCTACCTTTTTTTGTTAATGTTGCACTTTTTGGTTCTTTTTTTACTCACCCTTTCTGTGTGAGGATGTTTACTCATATTGGAGAGAGGATCTGTATTTGGTGCCAAGATTGAAATCAAAGAGAGAAATATTATTTTACCCAGGAGGGACCAGAAAGAGAGATAGAATGCCAAACGAGAGAGAGAGAGAGAGAGAGAGAGAGAGAGAGAGAGAAAGAAGGCACTAGCTGGAGTTCTGACTAGACGTCTGCTCGCCAGCTGCAATGAATGCAGATCTGCTCTTCAACAATTCTCAGAGGTCTTCCAACACCTCAACAATCTGGTCAGCTCTCTTCCCCTGGTGGCCCTGTTTGTCACCAAACTGCACGGTTTAAATAAGTCATTTTCCATTAGTTATTTAATGAAAGGTCTTTGCTTGCAGTCATGATTCACAACATGTGTCATGTAAACTTCAATGACACTTTATTTGTAGTGCACACATGGTGAGATAACAGCCTGGGAAAGGATAAAACATAAAACAAAGGCATTTCACTCTGAATAGAAGCACCTATTTTTATTAGAGATGGCTAGATTTCTTTGTTACTGTGGAAAATGTTGTTGAAGACTTGGACCACCATTTGGGACTTTTAATGCATGGAGCATGGACTCCAAGCCTAAATGAAAGTACTACAGTGCTTTAAAAAGTGCTCATCTCCATAGGGCTTAAGACACTGAGCGTGGTTTTGCAAGCATAGTCCCCCATGTGCCCTGCACTCTTCATCCGTGGTTCGAGTGCATACTTTCCACTGGCAGTAAAAGTGGAGAGAATGACATTAAAGAAGGGAACACTTCATTGCAGAGCACATGGT